ATCAGGCTCTGAGCGGCTAATGGAACAAATTCAAGGTCACCTAGTCAGCAAGGAGCCGAGCAAGGACTCTTCCAGTTAACACTTATCAGTTTAAAAACAGAAGAAAGGTATCAAGATGTGCTTGCCTCTAAACAGAAATGTCCTTCAAGTTACTTGAAATTAAATGCACAGGGAAGGCCTCAGTTCCTGACACGTGGTGGGTCCCCCAGCATTTTCATCACACCTTGGCGGAACTGGACTGTGTTGGCTGATTACTGCAGGCTGTCTGTGGCCCTCAGAGAAACATTCTTCTCTTCATTTCGGTTCATACCTGGTGAAGTAGAAATTATAATCAATCTCCCATATCCCTGGGGGACTAGAGAATGCTAAGAGCAGGATGAGATTATGATGATGTCATCATTTCCGGTGTCTGCACTTTACCGATGGAGAAATTGAGGCCCAGTGAGGAAAAAGGTCAGGAAACAAACCTGTGGTTGAATCAGATCAAGGATGAGACCCACGTCCAGTGCCTGACACCTACTGCCTCCCATGAAGATGGGTTTACCCAAAGTACTTTGAGCTTCTCCAAGACTCATAAACGATCTTTTTTTTTAATTCTATTTTATATTGGTTCACTTACAAAGTTCATGTACATTGTGTTTCACACTATCCTTCAATGAACTCTTACATCCAATGTAGTAAAGTATTAGGAGCTATTTTTTTTTTATCTGAAACATTTTTATTAAAAAAACCAAACAAACAAAAAACAAAACAAACATAGCATTTTCCCAAGGCAAGTAGACTTAGAAATTTTAGAATAGTAATTAACCAGAATGTACGAAACACTGATCTTTTCATAATTTTGCAAAACTGCCTTTGACTTTCATAATGTTTCAAATTAACTCATCTATCTAATCCCACCATCTTTTTAAAATACATACGAATCTTTTAATGTGGCAAATAACAGAATAAAGTCTTCATTTTTGAGGGTTCAAACCTAATAAAAAGGAACAACCAAGTCTGAGCCTGAGAGAAATTTGGTATGTTGTGTATTATCGAGTTTTAACCAACCCAGAGCTGACCCTCCAGGTTTTCAGTCCACCGCATGGGAAGAAAATACCCATGTTTCTCCCTTAGAGAAGCTGGTGGACTCAAACTGCATGCCTTCAAATTGGCAGCACACCTCCTTACCATTAGAACACCAGACTCTACGGACACAGTAAGGTCCTATTAGATTAGTCCCAGGGCCAAATAAATTCTCAAGCAATTAAGTCTCCAAATTATAAGAATTAAACATTTTTAAATGCAATGATTGTAAATAATGGGGCACAGAAAGTGCAGCATCATCAAATATGTGAATTTACTATAATCTTTTTTTTTTAAAAAAAGGTAAAATGTAATGATTTAGCTAAATTATAAAATTTGAGAAAGGTCAGCACATCTGGTTACGTGCACATGCTTCTTGGGAAATATGTTAGAAAAACTCTTAACTAGGATACAGATCATGTGATTTCATTCCACTTCTGCTAAGGGACTTAACATGCTTTGGTGAGCAGTCGGAGATTCATAAATATACGCTCCAAATCTTAAAGAATTATTAACCAACACCATCAAAACCAGCTTGAGCAATCAAGGAGAAAAAGAGCTGGCAGGAGAAATTCCTCAGGGAAAAAAAAAAGTCACCAACACACTCTTAAGAGGTGGAAGAGGAAGGGAAGAAATACGATATTATGCAAGATGTGAATTAGTAAAACTAATTGTGGAAAATTACCAACTCTTCTGACTGCACAAGGTAGCTTTCCAACAAGAGACTGTAGCGTTTAAAGACAAAGTATTCAAAGGGAGGAAAGAGCAGGAGGGTAAAAGCTCTCCCTAACTTCCTTCAGAGGGTGGAGAAGGGCCAGGAAGGCTGATGGTACGTGGGCGAGAGATGGTCGCTGATAGCCATTCCCAGGTAACTAGTCTGTGAGCCTGTAATTTGCCATGTCCACGGCATCACACAGGCTCCGCACCTTACTTATCTGCCTAACTCACTGAGTACTAATCTCCCGGGCATGGGACTAGCTGATTCGTTCCATACACAGGTCTTGATCAGCTTTAGCTTGAGGATTTGGGGGTGGGGAGGGATGACGGACAGGAATGAGATTAGGGTCAGTCTCAAGCCCACAGTCAACAGGAATCTAAACCTTTCTCCGTGGTCTTTCTCAGTTTCCCCGAGAAAGGCTGCAATTCAAGCCCCGTGAGTGAACTTGTGGGCATACCAGCTCTAGGAATGAAAGGGTTCCCCTCCTCCACAGGCCCTTTATCAAATTCAAACTCTTTTCCACATTCCTCCCTTACACAAACCCAAACACACTGGTGACGCAGCCCTCACAGCAAACTCTGGCCTGGCCCTTCCTTCTAGAAAGAAAAGTCCAAGTCAGGAGGGATGGCACACCCGGGGGAGGGGAGAGAGGCATGACGACACCTCCAAGAATGCAGGGCCCACGCAGGTGCGTTGGCATCTACTGACTTCCTTTTTAAAAGGGCCTGATACATCAGTACCGATAACAGTAATAAAAAACCACGCAGCGCTCACTCACCCAGCACTCATACCCCTGCTCTCAGGGCGAGGCCTGCCAAGAGCAGAGAGAAAGGAGAAAGCTGAGACGGAAGAGCCTCACTGTTGTGACAGTTTCGAGTCTGAGGTTCTCCAAGTGTGGGACAGGGTGGGGAGAAACCCCTGGCAGAGCCTCAGACCTCTCCCCTTCTCCATTTTCATTGTGTCACAGAGGTGGACTTTTCTAGAAGGGACATGATGGGGATGGCACCAACACTCTGATGACTCCAAGATTGTGTGCTTGTATGTTCCTGTGTTTTAAACATTTCTCTGTTTCAATCTTAATAAGATACTGAAAGCCATAACACACACAAAATATTTTCGGTCCTCCATAGTTGTCTAGAGATTAAAAAGTTTCTGACCTGCTTATATCAGAGGGTTACGCAGGAAGCTGCCCCACGAGGGTCCAATATGCTGTTTCTCAGCTCAGGAGTCACACACTAAGTTCTTTGGAACGGAGGGCCAAGAAAGCAGTCCTATTATTAAAGCTTGAAACGTTATCACACGCAGAAAAAGGGTTTCCACTCACAAATGGCCAGGAAACCTTAAGTTCTCTTATAAACGTCACTGAACAGCTGTTCCCCATGGCGGGTAACAAGCTTCTTCCTCACGATTTACACCCAGGCAAGGGCACCATCGGCATAGAGAGCACACCTGGAACGCCAACACCCAGCAGACACCTGAGGACGGGCTGGCGTCAGGCACTGCGCCGGGGCAACAGTCAGCAAAGCCGAAGCGGGTCCTGCCTTCGGGGAGCTTCCCTTTGAGGGTGGAGTGGGTTACCCCTGGAACCCAAAGGTGCGCATACACCGAAACACTGCCAGGCGCTCTGAGCAGGAGAGGGGCAGGGCGACAGGAGCGCAGTTGCTCAGAGGGGGGGCTGACACTGGCAGGGAGATGATGCGGGGTGCAGGCCCCCACGACCGCTGCAAACTGGTGAGCAATCCCAGCCCCAGGAGGGCTGGGCTGCAGGTTCCCGCCAGGTCTCTCCTCCTGGTCTCCCGTGGTTAGCTAACAGCGTCTCTGTGTTTGCACCAAGTGAGACTGGCACCCAGGAGCCTCGGCTTGGCTGTCCATGTCCACTGAGGTTTGTCCTTGGTGGCCCTGGTGCGAAAGGGGGGCGAGGAGAGGATGGGGAAGGGGAGACGTGATCCCCACGAGGGGACCCCCTCCCCGGCCCGTCAGGCAGAACTCCAACTCTGGGGCATGGAAGAAAAGAATCGGCCTCTCGTAACTCGGGGACACGGCTCCGTTGCTCCGGGAAACAAACACAGCAGAGCCTGTCGGTGGGGAAACAGCAAAATGGCCAAGAAATGGCTAGCAGTGGGGAGACCGAGCCTGGAAGGAGCCACCTTCCTTCTCTCCGGCGCCCACTCGGTCCCAGGACCTGACGGACCTAAGGTGGTGCGCGCAATCCTCCCCCAAACCCAGCCCGGAGGGCGCCGAGGTTGTCCTGCAGCGGCTGCCACACGGGCGGGAAAACTTTTGCAACCCAGAGTTGCGTCCGTTCGCCTAAAAGTGGCAAATGGTTGGCGAGGAAAGCGGTGGCACCCCGCAAGGATGGGAAGGTGGGCCGGGTCCGGAGGGAACCTAGCGTCCCCCGCGGTGCATCCGTAAAACCACCCTCCGAAGCAAGGGGCAGCGAGCGCGCGCTCCGCGGCGCCCCCTACAACCCGGCGCGAGAGCGCGTGCGCGTGCGCACAAGGCCCACCCGGCGAGCCCTTCTCCAGGTGCGCTCGCGCTTCCGGCCGGCCTCCTCCCTCCTTCCCTCCCTCCCTCCCCGGGGCGGAAACTCCCAGGCCTGCGCATGCGTCCTTCCGGCTCTCTGGCTGGGTCGGGAGAGGCGGCCCCCGACTTCAGGTGATCCCGCCCCTCCTTCTCAGTCTCAACCAATCACTCCTCGGTGGGTGGGATCTTTGCCCAGGCGGCCCGCCCACGCTCTGGGTAAAGGTGCCTCGATTGGTTGGCGCCGGGGGGGCAGGTGCGCGCTTCCTATTGGGTGTGGGCGGAGCGCGAGCTTCTCCAGAGACTGCAGGTGAGCGCGCTTCGCAGCTCTCGTCCCACCTCGGGGACGCGCCCGCGGGCTCGCGACCCGAAGACTGCCGGGAGTGAGGCTACGGCGCTGGTCACCTCCGCTCCTCCTCCTCCTCCTCCTCCCCGTCGTCGCGGTCCCCGCGGAGGCCCGGAGGGAGGGAGTGTCGTCCCCGCCCTCCTCGCAGCCAGTCCGACTCTCGATCCCGCTGAGTGAGGACCCCGCGGAGCGCAGCTCGGCGCAGAGCTCGGAGCTCCGGCCGCCCCCTCCGCAGGTGCCTGCGAGGAGGCGCCGGGCCGCAGCCGCCCCCGAGCCCGCCTGCCGGGCACTCGCTCCCCACGTTCCCCGCGCTCCCGGCCGGAGGAGGCCGCCGCTGGCTCGGCGCTCAGCATGAACCGCAGCCACCGGAACGGGGCGGGCAGCGGCTGCCTGGGCACCATGGAGGTGAAGAGTAAGGTGCGCGGGGCCCCGGGCAGGGCGGGGCGGGCGGCAGACGTGCCTCGGGCGAGGCGGGGCGCCGGGCCGGAGAGCTGCCGGGGTCTGGGCGGCCGGGGCGGAGTGGGAGGTCGGAGGCCGGGGATCAGCTCCCCGGGAAGAGCTCGTGTCTGCCGCTGGCTGCGATGGGAACACCCGAAAGGGCGCTTGGTCCACTGCGTGCCCCGATTGGGAGTTAGGCCCTCTCTGTCCCCAAAGATGGGGGGACATTTGAGTGCAGTGGGTGAGAAAGGTGGGGGGGGCTGTTTTCTCTCTCCCAGGCTGTGAGTGAAAGATACTTGGACCGCAGACCACCCTGTGGTTATTTAACCTTACCCCTTTGGTGGGTCCAAGGCTTCCGCAGGTGGAAGACTCAAACCCCTTGAATGAGAAAACCCTTTCGCAAGTCTGCCCAGGTTCCTGCTAGCAGTTTCTTTAGCACAAACTTTGGTATGCATTTAATCTACAAAATTAACACTATCACCTTACGTCCGAGGAGCACTTTCCAATTGGAATCAGGATGCTCTTTTCATTCCATCGCGCTACCCTCTCACATCAAGTGCTTTCACCCCAGACCAGCGGTCGGTATGCCAGTCTGGGGCTAATTACCTCGGTATCAGCCGAATTCCTATATCTCAAGGCTGGGCGAGCAGGGCAGTCAGTAGGGATTAGTTAGGGAATGCTTTCCAGAGGGGATTGTGGACTGGAATTCGAAGGTGCTCAGAGGCCCCGGGAACATTTTTCTCGCAAGTGTTTTAAAGTGAATTAAAGAGCCAGAAGGGAGTTTGGATGATCAAGTCCAGTTCTCCTCTGACGGCTGAGAAGACTGATGCCTAAAAAAAAAATCCTATTTCCCCAAGCTGTGCATTCTTGACAAGACTTTTAAGCTTGATCAAAGCTGTTTCACAACTTCAGACGCCCTGGAATACCAGATAAAGACTTTGGCGGGGCCCTAAGACATTTAGAATTGAGTTGGAAAGACCATTATATATGAACCAATGGGGAAAACGTGACAGCTTGTCACCTCGAGAAATAATGAGGCCTCATTGAAGGTAAAACTTCGGTGGGAGAACGCAAAATCAAGGAGTGATTTAAAGCAAGTACAGTGGACTTTGGGAGAGCTTCCAGAAGTCTGTGGGTGGAGTGAAGGTTTATTGTCTAGGGCTGATAAGAAAGGTTCTGTGAGTTGCTTGTAAAGGAGAATCCCATCAAGAGTATCTAAAATGTGTGTCCATTTTTAAACTTTGTAACTTAAGTCATGTGTTAAGATAGGCCCTATCTGCAGAAACCATTCTGTAATTATAAGCAATTTAAGAAATGCTTTCAATGCTTGCTTTGGAAGCCCATATACCAAAATGGGAGCAATACGGAGATTAGCATGGCCCCTATGCAAGGATGACACACACATTCGTGAAATATTCCATTTTTTTCTTTCCTTTTTTTTCTTCTCTGTTCTGGTGTACCAGTAAATCAGATCCAGCTGACACAGGAGATTGCCCCACCTTCTGCAGCAGAACATCTAGTGGATTTGAACCACACACCTTCGGGATTGCATTGCAGTTTGTCACTAGGCCACCAGAACTCCCTCATATTTTTTTTTTTTTTTAATAAAAAAAGAAAAGAAAAATGCATTCATCCACATGTTTTCCCTGAAACGTCCATGTTGTTTTGTGTCACAGAGTTGGAACCAACTCGTCTGAACCCTCCAGTGGGTTAACCGAGGCAATAAATCGCAAGGGGAGGCGATTGTGCTCATCCTTCCAACCCCCCCCCCCCCCCCCCCCCCCCCCCGGAAGCAGCTGGTGGATTTGACCACTTTCCATTAGGCCGCCAGACCCATAGCAAAGGGAAGTCACTTCTTGAACGAAAGGGTTAAGATGATGGAAAAGGCTGAGCAGTCTAGGGACAGGAGTGGTTTTTGTGCCCACTACTTGGACTTTCTCATGGCAATTCTGTTACAGATCTAGTTTGGGTTTGTGGGAGTTGAGGTTAAGAAAAGAAAAACACTTGTGATACTGTGTAATCTTACAGCTCAGTTGTGGTCTTGATCTTGGTGGCAAGTCCTTAATTGTTTATCATAGAAGGAAATGAATTGAGATTCGATAATAGGACACCTATCTAGGTACACATCAGATGGCATGATCTTTTTTTTTTTTCTAATTCAGGGAAGCTAAGAAATTGGAGAATTCCATCTGAGTATCATAATAGATGGAGAAAAGATTGAAACTGTCAACAACTTCATCTTGCTTAATTCAACAATTAACACTCTTGGTACCAGCAGTCAGAAAATCAGGAGATATATTGTACTAGGAAAATCTGCAGTTAGGAACCTCTCCAGATTATTGAGGTGTAATGTCATTTTGAGGACTGCAATGTGCCTGATTGAGGCCATGGTCTTTCTGATCACTTACTATGCTTCTGACAGCTAGACAGTGACCTAGGATGACAGAGGAAGATTTAATGCCTTTGAGCTGTGGTGTTGGAGAAGAGCACTGAACATCCCATGCACGGCCAAAAGAACATCTAAATATGTCTTGGAGAGGGTGCAGCCAGGGTGCTCTTTGGAGGCTTTGCCTCACATACTTTGGGCATGTTGCTAGGAGGGGCTTTTCCATGGAGAGGGACACGATGCTCGGAGAGGTAGAGGATTGCTCAGGGTTCAGATCTCTTGTTCATGGGATTCGTATTGGTGGGACGCAACTTGATGGCACAACAACAACAAGAATTTAGAACCCGGCACTTGATTCTTTTTGCTTGCTCTCCAGGCGGCTTGTGATTCCCTTGTAGACTATGGCCTAACTCTGTTGTGTATTTGACCTGCCATAGTGCACGTTGTTAAACCAGTCTCTGGTAGAATCCAGGCATCCAGATTGCACACACCAATCCAAGTGTGAGTCTTGACAAACACAGGATAGGGGTTTCAAGTACACCTGTAATGCTTTTATTTGTGAAATAAGGATTATTGATAACTTTTCTTTTAAAATGCATGGAATAAAACACTTAACAATTTAGCCATCTAACATTTGGACAGATTTTTGAAGCAATATTTCTCCTCACACTGCTTTAGTGCCCTTAGCATTTCACAAAGTAAAGCAGTAAGCCAAAACTAGATACTGTTCAGACTTATGTTTTAGGATTTCCTTTTCTTTATCAAAAGCAGTAGTCTCAACATTTTTCTCTTTTTTTCATGGAGGGTTTTACTTCACATAGTAAAAAGTTCTCTTAATCCTATTGTTCTGCTGCAAAAAGCATAACAGTTTCTTGGTGTTTATTTTCCTTTCCCTGAGCATTTGCAAAAAGACACAACTGCTGCTAAGCTATAGTTTCTTACTGTTTTTATTGCAACATTTTAGTAAGAGAGGAAGGGGGGAAATGTTGAGCAAAGAATTTTCATGGAGGCTTTGGTAGAAACATTGAGGCCCTAAAGAGTTTTATTACTAAATGCCATTCTCCTTTTACGGAGTCACCCAGTGCCGCATATGGATGTGTCCTAGACTGCTAACCAAAAGTTTGATGGTTCAGGCCTACTCAAAGGCACCTTGAAGTAAGGGCAAGGAGATTTGCTCACAGAAGGCCTCAGCTCCCTTTGGAGCAGCTCTGTTCTGCAACAGAATGGACTCTACAGCAACTAAGAACAACATTGCCATTCAGATAGCAGAGGCTGTTCTGAACCCTGTGGGGGGAATCAGAAAGCAGTTGCAATTCCATGTTGTGATACCAGAATAGAGAAAAATGGAGAAGAAACTAGGACTTTTGATAACATCACAAAACTAACTCTGATATGAAGGGTGTTCCTCAAGTTTTTATTTGCTTTGAAATGTGAAGGTGTGACTAAACTTTTTGAGAGTTTTTAAGTGTGAGTCATCTTATTTTCTTGATTAATGTTTATGTTTCAAGAATGTGTCTGGGAAACTTGCAAATTATTTAGCCAGGGAAAAGTACACTTGAATTTTCTTTTGAAACCATTGAGTAGGGTGGGTATAAGCAAGGCGGATGAACTTCTTAGACACAGCAGATGCTGTGGCCCAGACATCCCACGAGCCCAGGAGAAAAGGAACCGGCATAGCTGTCACTGAAGCAGCTCAGATGGTTATAATGGGACTTTCCTGTGTGCTGCTAAACACACTGTATCCAAAGCACAGTGATTGATAGTCTTGGTAATAATATTTAGAGAGAAAACATGTTCAGTGATCAGATACACTGGAGGAAAGCTTGTCTTTTTAAAAAAAAAAGTTTCTTCTAAAAGATTTTAAAATATGCTCTGGGCATTTATCTGGATTTTCTAAACCTTGGTCTCCATAGCCATTGTTGAAAGGATGACTGGTGCGCCTTCTACCTTGAGTGGCTTTGAAGGAGACTGACAGACTCAGATTCTTCATATGAGAAAATGCTGTGGTGTTTCCCTAGAAGGTTAAAATGCGGCTTATTATGGACTGGCAGCCAGTCTGTTGTTGAAATTGCACCACTTTGGTAACTGGCAGTTGGAGAGAAGAGGTTCGTTTCTGCAGCAGGAAGGCTGAGCAGAGCATCAGAGCTGTGCAGGGAAATCGCGGCGTGATGGGGTCTGTCACCTCCCTATTATGTGATCCTTTAGTACCTGTGCACAGTAATTACTCTCTTCACCTACTAATTGGTGACTTCTGGAGCAGACCTGAGCTCTTCAGTCTCCAGGGTCTAACTCTAAGCCAGCCATATAAACATTTGTTGCATTAATTGGATAATTATGGGGTATGTAGTTGATGTGTTTAATAAAGTTTCTTTAGCATAGAGAAGATGCCTCTTATTTCTAAGCCTATTTTCTCTATAATTTTTTAATTAATGTGCCCACTTCCATCATATAGCAGTTTGTGTTAACGAGGACAGAGTCCTTTTTGTATATTTTGCCACATCCTGTGGAATGGTAGTTTTTTTTCTGAGAAGAAACAGTGCACCACATCCTGGCTATGGCATGGTCTGTGTGGAGGGGGTATTGCTGTCAGCCTGTGGTCCCCAGGCGGGGTTTGAGCTGAGTCACTACTGGACAGTCCCTGGAGAGCCAAACATTGGAGATTTCATTGAACCACATCATTCTGAAGGGAGTTCCTTCCAGTGAAACGCTGCAGTGAAGAGGGATCTTCCAGGGTTTCTCTTAGTCGGTTTTATCTCCTAATAATAAGGCTTCTGACAATAGACTGTTAACAAAAATGCCTTCTTTATTAAGGAAACTACTAGCTGTTCATATTTTCATGGCATTCTTCCTTTGTTATTTTTGACCATTTTCTATGTGGTTTGGGAGGAATTCTAACTTTGTTTGTTTGCTTTTGTAGTTTGGAGCTGAATTTCGTCGTTTTTCACTGGAGAGATCAAAACCTGGAAAATTCGAAGAGTTTTATGGATTACTGCAGCATGTTCATAAGATCCCCACTGTTGACGTTTTAGTTGCTTACACTGACATCCATGGAGACTTACTACCTATCAATAATGACGACAATTACCACAAGGCTGTGTCGACAGCCAACCCACTGCTGAGAATTTTTATTCAAAAGAAGGGTAAGTCCCACTGTTTATAAAAATTATTTTAGAAATGGAAATGGTTTGTTTCTCCATTGATAGGATACACACTTAGCCACAAACTTCGTGCATCTTCTTGCTGTGTTAACTAGTGGGTTGAAATATTTGTGATGGTTGGTTTAATTCTATCTTTACATTTTACAGAGTGTATTTGAGGAAAATGTCCGTGTTTTTATTCATTGATTTTAGCATCTTCATAAAAATAGGCAATCAGTGGCATATTCACTTGATGAAATGGGTTCTTGTCCTTTCAGAAAGAAGTGATAGAAATCATACAGCTCTGGAGTCAGAATTAGCCCAGCTTTTTGGTGGCAGCCAGCTTTTAAGTGCTATAGTTACTACTTGATAAATAGATGAAGGAAAGTTATTGCATCTTCCTGGGTCTCGCTGTCTTTATCTATAGAATGTGTTTAACAGCTGGTTACTGCAAAGATTAAATTAACTGTACTGGCAGATAGTAGGCATTCACTGAAAGTTTTCTTTTGCCTTTGAGGATATTTTCCACAATAAATTATTCACTGAGTTATCTGGGAAATTAGATAGTGAACCATTCTTTTGGAATGATAGTTGTTTTGTATTTTTTAAAAAAGTTTGCCTTGAGGCCAGCTGTGTGTGTCTGATCTGTCTGTCTTTCTGCCAGCCTGGGAGGAATTTATTTATTCTCTTTGGTTAACAAAGAGATTTGCGAAGCCTTGGTCACAGGAGGGGAGCTCAATTGGTTGGAGAGTTAAAGGCCTTACAGTGGGTGTTTGTAAGCTTGTCAGCTTTGTAAACAGCTTGCTTGAGAAAATGAGTAGGGATTGCCCTTGAAGTGAAACTTTACTTCAGTCACTTGATAAGCATTGGACCACTCCCAGGGCTTTGAAATTCCACTCATTATTACGGATCTTGGATTTAAGACCAAAGTCTACCAACAAAAATAATCCTCCACAGGTAACAGTGCCTTACCTGTTTACAAAGTCCTTTCCACACAGATTTCCCCCAGGACCCCTGAGATGGGTAACTCTAGATTTTTACCAGGAATATCATCATTGATTTGACTGTTAGGGATGAAGACGTGAGCAGTTCTGTACAGTAGGGAACTAGGAGCGTGGAGAGCTGGCGAGGAAGCAGCCACAGTCAAGGGGATGGATAGATGTATGGGTGGGTGAATGGCTGGCTGGCTGGCTGGGTAGATGGATGGAGGGGTGGATGGATAGATAGATGGGTGGGTGGGTGGGTGGGTAGATGGATGGATGGGTGAGGAGTGGAGCCAGAGCTTGCTGCCGCTGCTGTTAGGTACTTGATTTGTTGTCATTGTTGATTTCGACTCAAAGCAACTCAACTGTGAAAAGAACTGCCCCACAGGGTTTTCTAGGTGGCCATCTATGGAAGCAGATGGCCGGGTCTTTCTCCCAAAGAGCCACTGTCTGAGTTCAAACTGCCAACCTTTTGGTTGCCAACTGTGTACTTAACCATAAAGATCCTTGAGAGGCCAGAACAGTGTGAACATTAGAGAGTCATCAGGCACACAGCTGAGTGGTATAGAGGTAAAGGAGAGTTCAACAAAGAATAGCTTTATGGTTTTGAGCCTGATAGCTGGGACCATGCCATAAGCAAGCAGGAATTGGAAGAGGAGTTGATTTGGGAAAGGAAATTGTGAGCTTGCTCTTAGAACAAGTGAGTTTTTTGAGACTGGGGAGTCAGGCATGCCATGCAGGAAATGAAAGGCTGTAGGCAGACTGGAGTTTAGTCACAAAGATTTGGCAATGTCCTGAAGTGATCCTTGATATTGGGAGTAGGCACAGGGCAAGGTGAAATGAAGATAAGAGGTGGAAAGGTATGTGTGGAATGCCAGGGAAGAAGGAAAGGCCTCATGGAGTGAAGAACAAAGCTTTTGAATAGATTTTCAGCACATATGTTAAAATGATTAGCTTGGTTAATAGACCTTCCTTGTCATTTTCATTAAATACTTAGTTGTTCTTTATAAGGTTTGTACAAATATAAAATTACTGTTATTAAACTAGAGTCATCTGATAGAATTTTGTTGGTCATCCCCTTTATTAAAAGATTACGGAAGTTGGATTAAACCAACACGTGTTTTTGTTAATGGAATTATAACACATGATCTTACAGCAAATTGTAACTTTTTTTTAAATTGTATTATTTTTACATGTACCGTCAAATCAGATCTGACTGGTACAGGAGATTGCCCCCTCCTTCTCCAGCAGAGCATCTGGTGGATTTGAACCACGTACCTCTGGGATGGCAGTGCAGCATCTTGCCACTAGGCTTTTAAGAGTGATTATCTAGCATCTTCTCTGTAGCGCTGCTGTGGTGGTATGCTCCATCAAGTCGGAACCCACTCATAGCTGACCCACCAGCGTGTTTTCAGAGGCTGTAAATTGCACCAGCGGAGATTGCCCACTTTTTTCCTTTGAAGCAGCCAGTGGATCTGAACTGCATGCTTTTGGGTTGGTGGTTCTACTCCTTACCGCAAGGCCACTCAGGCTCCCTTAAGTGTTAGTTCATAGTAATTTTTGAGAGGGTGTGGTGGTGCGGTGGTTAAAGTGCTTGCTGGCAACCAGAAGGTCTGATGTTCAGCCCCTCTAGCCTCTCAGAGGGCAAAAGATGTGGTGGTCTCCTTCCCTAAAGATTACAGCCTTGGAGAGCCTATGAGGCAGCACTCCGTCCTGTCCAGCACTCCTCTGGGGCGGTCAGTTGGAATGACTTTACAGCACTTGGTCTGGCTTCTTACTTTTGGTGTAAAATTGGAATTAGACCTTTAACCTGTGTTTTTATTGAATATTTTGAAGGTTTTAACTTTTAGTGTGTGATTTGCGGTGTAGTAAACTAGTCAGTTTGTTTCCACATGAAGCCCTCTGCGAGCTTCCCGCTGCAACCAAGTTGTTTGGTGCCACTGAAGCAGTTACAAGTCACAGTGACCCTGTGACCCCCATGACTGTCAAAAGAACAAAGAAATACATCTTGGAGGAAGTACAGCCTGCTTGCTGCTGTTTGGGGTTTTTTAAAGTCTTTCCCTACCCCACCCTAAGGTGCTTCTTAGAGGCCGGGTGGTGAAGCTTTGTCTCACATACCTTGGGCATATTATCAGGAGGGCCAGTCCTGGAAAGGACATCATGCTTGGAAAGGTGGCGCCAAAGAACCTTAGAACCTCAAGGAGATGGATTAACACAGTGACTGTAATAATGAGCTCAGGTAAGTCAGAGATGAGGAGGATGGCACAGGACAGGACACAGATTTACTGTTCATTGCTAGGAGTGCTGGTGGCTTAGTGATAGGAGCTGTGCTACCATCCCAAAGGCATGCAGTTCAAATCCACTAGCTGCTCCACAGGAGAAAAATAAGCAGTCTCCTCCCATGTGATTAACTGTTTCTGAAAACCTGGAGGGTCAGCTAGGGTTGGTCTAACTTGATGGTACTTAGCAACAATAAGGTCACTGTAGGTCGAAGACTTGCTGACACCTAACGTAAACAGACCTGGACCTTTCACTGTCCTGGGCCATAATCTCATGACCTTTGGACGCTGGAGCCCGTTGACATTGGGTCAGTCTGACCTTCTATTTTCCCCAGCATGATGTCTTCTTCCAAGGACTAGTTACTCCTCACAAGGAGCCCAAAGTATGTGAAACAAAGTTTCACCATCCTTGCCTCCGAGGAGCACCTTGGTTGTATACTTCCTCAGAGACAGACATTTTGTTCTTTAATTTCTTAACTGCCGGTACCAAGGGTGTTGATTGTGGAATCCAAGTAACATAAAAGTGCTGACAATGTCAATCTTTTCGCTGTCTATCATGATGTTGTTACCTATCAGTCCAGGGGTGAAGATTTTTGTTCCCTTGATGTTAAGATGTAATCTGAAAGTTTTTAAACCAAAATTAAAACCTCCTGTAAAAGAGTGTAGGCAGCATCCACTTCAGACATCAACTGTAATAGAGAGCGTAGGCAGCATGGGGTTGACTGTATCTGACCTTCACAAAGGGGAACAGTCCCCCAAAACCCCCCACAGTACAAAACCAATTCCTGTAAGGTCAGACATGGACTCCCACACTCTTGCGTCTACTGATTCCAGCACTAGTGTTACTAGGTCTGAAATCCATTGCAGTGACCGCACAGATCTCCAAAGCCATACTCACACTTCAGGGGTTTATTAGGGAGTTTAATAGGTTACAGTTCAGGTTGGCACCAAGATACGGTTGCTCAGTTGAGACAGTGTCTCAGGGTGTTCTCTGACCCTTTCACCTGCAAAGCTCCTTCAGTCCTGCCCATTGTGGCATCTTACCTTAGTAATTCCATGTTAAGTTAGCAGACTTAAGGAAGGAATCAGAATGAAAGCTTAAAGGAGCTTTATTAAAGGGGAGGGCGGATTGGGGAGCTCCTGGGTGAGGTTCCTCGTTCCGGAGGTGCACTTATTGGGGAGGGGTTTTATAACGGAGTCTTTCTTCAGGGAAGGAGGGGAGTTACATTCCACTGTGATTTACAGTGGTTCGCCTGTTCAACCAGGCAGCCAAGGCCATTTACTCTTCTTAGCAGCATTTGAATTCTTCGTTGTCCCCCCTGGTCCCCTTGTTCTGGCCTAACACTCAGCAAGTTTGTATAAGGCCCCTGGCCTTGTTCCTGGGGCAGCAGCCCCCCCACCCCCGTGAGCTTTTCCCTCAGTCCTCCAGCAGCTATAGGGCCCCTGGCCTTGGTCCTGTGGGCAGCTGGCTCCTGAAGTCTCTAAGTCTCTGCTGAGGCTGCGGCGCCTGCTCTTGTATGGAGCCCAGTCTGACTGGACGGCACTCTTTGGCCCTGTAGGACTTGAGCTGCACTCCCTGCGTTCTCTTCTCTGCTGGTGGTCAAGGTCCCACTTTGCTGCCTAATCTGCTCATTTTTACTTGGTCGAGTGGGAAAAGCTGACCAGTCTCGTAATGATCACTTTGTACACACCCTGTTCCCACTACAGCACCCTCCTCCTCTGACTTCACAGTTCGGCTTCT